CAACCATCCTGGTCTCCTCCTTCCGACAGTCTGCTCTTCCTTATTTTGATGGAAAAAGGAAGCCTTTTTATTCCTAGAGATGTCCTTATTTAAATGGCAATTGTGAAAATGCCTGATTCTGTCGTGTAAAAATTGGTATTGTATCCTGACCACTCTTTTTCGGAAAAAGATCTTCTAGCATAAACTTAGAGTTCATGAGTTACACCAAAGATTCAGGCAATGGAATCCATATATACTGTAAAAAAATGAACATGAATGGTAGTCACTTGGATATGGCAGTCTCTGTACTGGGGGTTTTATCTATACAAATTAGCTCTTTTGAAAATAAAAATTTGCCAGAAAAGCCAAACATGTTTGAATATAACTCAAATTTTCATCCAGGTCATCGTTATATCCTCTCAAGTTCTTAGGCATTTTCCACTCCTGGTTTCCTTAAGCACTAAATCTATACAGACAGTATCTGCTTCTGACCTGGGCATTGTTCTAACTGCTACCTGATTTAGGCTCAGTTTTAAATAGTGTAATATCAGTAACACAAGAATTTTGGGTTGATTTCAATACAAAGAAAGGACTTACAGTCTGTTCAAAAGTTCATCCTGAAACAAATAAGCCTTCAAAGACAAGTGAGGACAATGGGGCAGATTCCTCAGAGTGCCTGGGGTTCAGAGAGCAAAGACAATCCTTGTGGTTCTAAGTGCCTTGTGTGTGGATTCTAGGAAAACCTAGAGCAGTTACTTGGCATCTTCTGGAGGAAGCCTGGGCTGTGCTTGGCAGACTTTTCAAAATTCAGTTGACATCTTAGGACACTGGACACAGTTCTTCTCTTGCCCCAGAAGAACCTGGTCTGTAGGTTTCTAGAAGCTTTTCTCTTGAAATAGATGCTGTATATTGGTCCTTACTATAAGCATCTCTTTATCAACACACAAAATGGAATTGTCTCAGTTCCTTGCCTGCTGTCCACTACGGCAGCAATTTGGTGAGGAAGAGAAAGCGTTTCTCCAGAACCTTCTAAGATGCTCTAAAAACTCTTCTTCCACAGCTTATCTGGAGCCATAAAGTCCAAAGCATGGAACTTAAAGTCCCTGGAGGACCCATTTGGCCTTTCCTGAGCTGATGGGGTCATGACCACTTTGATGTAGAGTTTCTACTTTCACGTTCTTCCATGTTTAATCTCTCACTGATTCCAACCTTGGAAGCATTCTTGTCTATATAGAATTCTCTGCAGGGATGAGATGGGGTTCTTTCCACTTTTGGTAGACACAGTTTGAAGGGAACTTTAATAATTCAAGGCCACTAGAGTCCTAGATTTTGGTATTTTTCTTATCTCTGAATTTCTGGTGCTTTGTGCAGTGCCTAGAAGACAGTGGTGCTTAATAAACCTTGGCAATGAATAAACAAACGAGTGTTTTTATCACACTTATTTGAGTGGCATAGAATTATGACAATGATCTTGGTCAGTTATGAGCAGCTCCTGTTATATTAGCGTTAACAATTAATAATGTCTATAAGTAATTATTCTTTCAACTCACAGTGTCTTAGGAACTAACTGCCTTGCACAAAATAGGCATTCGATGCATATTGTTGACTAATGAACTCATCTGACCTATAGTATACCTTGGGATTGTCTGGCTTTGTTTTCATGACAATTAGAGCTTTATAACATCAATGCCATGTCTAATAAATCTGATCTCTCAGCTTCCAGAACAAACACACTTAATAAATAGAGCTTTCTCAGTTTGATTTTTTTTCCCCTTTTCCTCTCACAGTTAGAAAAAAAATACTTCCAGAATTTGCTTGTGTGCTAGTCTTTGATAGTCCAAACTCAAAAGTGATCTCAAGTACTTTCTTCTCAGCCAATAGCATTACCTTTAACCTAACATTTGGAAAGTGAATTTATCTAATTAATTTTGATACTACTAAAAGAGGACCTCTTAAATTTTGCATATATCATGTTGTGACATACAGAGATAGAATGCATATGATGAAGTCACAGTTTCCCTTGAGAAAGTCATACTTAGTTCTTGTAATGGAATTAATTTTTCATTATTTCATGAAGTTCAGCTGAAACTATTGTAGTTTCTTGGGCAAACTTCAGAACCACTGGTATATCTGAGGTAGAATAGTCTCAGATAAACCACTGGCATAGCTGAAGTAGAATAATCTTGGTAGAATAATCTCAATTTACCAGTAATCTTGGTAAATGGTTATTTACCAATTCTGTTGGATTATTCCAGCATGCTGTTTCTTGGTTTGACAAAAAGATGTTTGTGGAAGCACATACTGTTTCTCCCTATAACCTATGTTCAGTCCTACACCCTGAATTTCTACTTCATCAATGACAGCCATGTTGATGATGTTGTCTGTGGGCAGGCAACTTGAACAGGGTTTGGTTTGCATTTCAGGAATTTTTTTTTTAAAGGGAATAGTGAAGCAGAATATTCCAGAAAGTAAATGTGTTCTTTTTTGCTTTCTTAGATGGGAAAGAATGGCTCTTAAGATTCTTATCATTTTATTCATTCATGAAGATTAATTTGCCTTTGTCTACCCTGATACTGCATTGGGGCTATATAATCAACACAAATCCAATCCCTGCCATCCTGGCCTTATGACCCAGCAGGGAAGCTAATGTGCCTTCTTATGGTTTGGAACAAAATACAAATTCCAGTCATTTGTCAGTTACTATAAGAACCTGAGGAAATCATCTAACTTTGGATCCATGATGACTATTTTTAACATGAGGATGAGAAAGTCTCACTTTTCCAGTTGGGAACTCCACTGAGTTCTTGGAAAATGCCTCTACTTGTAAGATACTGAGACAAGTGTGTTCTGCAGGGATATTAATAAGTTAGAAAAATAATTAGCATGTTAGATGGCTCAGTCATTTTTGATGAAAGATTCCAGGAAGACCAGAATCAAGAACCAAGCCCTAAGGAAGGAACATAAGGTTTCTTGGGTCAACAACCCCAATGGCACTTGCAGCCATATTATAGGGGGCCAGGGGAAGGATCAAATGATCCACACCTTTTGCCCTTTAAATGGCCAGAAAGTCCAATAGTCAACCATCGGAGGGGGGTTTCACATCTGATGTATGTGCTCATTCTTCTGTATTTCCTACCTGGGACTTCAAGGTCAACACCCATCCATTCATGGGACTCCCCACATGCAACTTCCTTTCTACCATTCACAATGCCAAGGACTTCAGGCTTTGGCTGTTAGTTCCTAAAGTCAGGGGCTGACCCTTCATTATCACTGTACTCTGAGCCTTTTACGAGATACCTGTTGACATGTGGTTGAAAGAAACCCACCTCTGAGGAAGAAGCTCCTCTCTCCAATATAGTGCAAAATCCTTGCATTAGGTAACGATGAAGCTGTCAACCTCGTGTCTGTCACAGCCATTCTGGCTCTTGGCAACAATTCGAGGGAGAATGGTGGGATGCAGACACTCATGTCAATCAGTTTGATGGTCACCCTGGCAACCATCTACAACGGCCCTTAGACGTGTGAAGAGAGTGAGACAATAACACTGTGGTGGAGTCATTTAGCTAATTATTCCAAGCCTAACAGAAATCTTGCCCATCAATGTGTTTCAGAGAGCAGCAACTTCTCCTAACAGGATGGCTTCTGCTTCATATTGATACTTATACAGGTCGGTGCACTCCAGCTTGTCTGCTTACATGTTAGCTAGTCTTATGGCTACATGTGGTTTCAAATATCTAGAGGGGTGAAATTAGATGGTTCTGGAAATTTTGCCTAAAATGTTGTAGCTTCATTGTATTGATTTTTTTTCTGGATCCAGAATGCAAAGCATCAGACAAGCACATTTTGCAATAAAAGCAGACATCCCCCTCCCACTTGGACAAACAGTTTCATGAGTGCTTTCTATACAACACAGAATACAGGCACTTGGTCCCATTGTGGAAACTGCAGAGCAGTGTTGGGAGGAGACCGGGCCTGCAGACAGTCAGCTGACTGAGATCTGAGTCCCAGCTCTCCTGGCAGGTGATGGGGGCATCCCAGTCATCTCTCTTTACCTGGCCTACGGTTTCTCATTTTTACAGGGAAGGTCCTGGACCAGGCAATTTCTGTGTGCCCTCTTGACTCCAGTTCCCATTTGACTCGGGCCTCTTGTATGAGTATCACAGGGAGGAATGTGAATTGGAACCTCGTCTTGAAGGCACTGAACTGGACTCCTGCCCCAAGGGGCACCCCGCGGCTGATAAATTTTGTTATCTTTGGCTGCATAAGTTGGGAACTATTTTAATGTGCGTGTGTGTGCTTTCTCCCTGCCTATTCACAACTCATCTGAAATGTTACACTTGCCACCACCTTTGAGAGATGAAGAAACGGGCATGAGAGTTGACAACGACAGACCAAGTGAGGTCCCTCTGAGAGCTTTTGGAAGGTTTTCCCAGCTTTTCCTTAATAAAATAATTTTGTAATTCTTAGTTTGGCAGATATGATGCTATCTCATTCCTGCCCTCACATTTTAGCTCAAGAGGCAACCTCCTTGGTACATGATGCTTTTTTGTTGAGGGAACTATTTGCTTGCTGTAGAAAACAACTAATCATTGGAGTGTTTTACACAAAGGGGCAGTGATGCGAGAGCAACAGAAACGACTTTCTCTGCTTACCAAACCAAAACCCAAAGCAGCCAACCACACAGACACATAGCACGGCTCATCCATAATTTCTCCCTGTACTGGTCCAGTCATGATTCAAAGTAAGAACAGCGGATAAATGTGTATCCTAAAGAGGTTAGCGGTACCATTTTATATAGTGTAAAGTCATGCAAACCATGCTTGAAAGGAAGCAGCTTCATTGTGGTGACCGGGGAAGGTAAAAGGCCACGAGAAGCCCCCGCCCAGGTGGGGCCACCACGCACATGCATGCGTTTGATGCAGCCCCCGGTGATCTCACGGGGACGTGGCGGGTGTGAGAGCAAAGTGAGCTATACAAAGTCTGTCTACATTACAAGGAGGAGTCAGCCCACGACCCCTTTTTTAAGTGGGCTTGCCGGAAGGGGTCCATATTGAATCAGAAATGCCATCCCCTGTGGACGACAGAGGCATGGAGCCACTGGGTGTGAAGGGGTCGGTGTCCGTGTCCGTCTCACCCTCGGCCAGGTACCGTTTCTCCCTCATCCAGCTCGATCCCCCGCTCGGGCCAAACGCATAATCGTCTCTGTCCTGGGAGATGCTGAAGCCACTGGGCGAGCGTTCCAGCTCCTCGTGGTTGACTGACATCAGGGATAGGGGCGTGTCGCTGTCCCGGGTGAGGCTGCACCTCTGCCGGGGGGAGACGCGGTCCGAGCAGGGGCCATGCAGTTCCGCCTGGGAGCGGAAGCTCCCCCGGGAGTCGAGAAGCGTCAAGATAGGCAGGACGGTGGGCCTTTCCGCATAGGTGACCCTTTCCGCATGACCCTTTCCAGAACTGGGTCCCCCTAGGGGCAGGTTCACGGGGTCCTGGGCAAAAAACCCATAGGGGCCGACTTTGTCGACGGGCACCTGGTGGAAGCTGTAGGGGGCATCGGGGGTGCCCGTTTCGGAATAGTTGCAGATGATGGTTTTCAAATCCGAGTCCCTGTGGTCCTCTTTCCCCTCGGCCTCGGCTGGCGAGCAGGCCCCCTTGCTCGGGGAGAAGTCGGTGACACGCACCTGGAGCCGCTCCATGTGCTGCAAGTGCATGTCCACCAGGAAATCCAGTTTCTTCCCCATGTCGTGCACCTGGAAAATACGAGGAATTGGGGATTACTGCTTTCTCCGGGCCTGTGGGCACTTGTCACTGCTGGTGGGGAAAAACCAGAGCATTTACTTTCCAGCAAGGAAGAGGGTTCTTGCCATAAGAACTTGCCATAAGTCATAATCATCATAGCAGTTAACTGTTCTGTGTCTCTCGATTTTGAGCTTTGTGCATGGATGCGTGCATGCGTGCTCAATCGTTCAGTCATGTACAACTCTGTGCCAGGCTCTTCTGTCCAAGGGATTCTCCATGCAAGAAAACTGGAGTGGGTTGCCATTTCCTTCTCCAGGGGATCCTCCTGGCCCAGGGACTGAACCCACGTCTCCTATGTCTCTTCCATCGGCAGGCGGATTCTTTACCACTGTGCCACCTGGGAAGCCTGCATGGATTTCTGCTAATCTAAAAAAACAGGGTATGGGCCTTCTAGAAACCTGGAAGCAGAGACATGGTATAAAGATAAGTTTTACCCAAGGAGAAAGTGATCTTGCTGCTCCTGTTTGGATCCAGAAGAAGGAGTTCTTGATTTGTAAACATTCCCTTAAAGAAGCATCTATATTGTCTGTGCACATTCCCCTTACCTGGGGATGTAAGCCCCATGGGTACAAGGGCAGTGGTTAGCAAGAATTGTGCTTCTCAGAACTAGACATGCTCCCTAGGGGCCTTGGAGGCCAGTGGAAGGTACGCTGAGATCAGCTGCATCTACCTGCTCCTACCTACAAAATTGAGAACATATCGAAATCATCGTGCGTGCACAGACACAAGTGTACGTGCATGTGTGAATGGGATGTTCTTCTCTGACAGTTCACAACTCACCAGGAAGGACTGAAGGCAGGTCTACCATTCCCTCTTATAGCTGACAACACAAAGCATAGAGCAAGATCATGGCTGAGTTGGCATCCAAGTCTAAATAACAACTAATCCTTCTCTAGCAGTTACGATGCACTTTAAAGTTATTTAATTTTTCATATTAATTTTCTTATTTAACTTATTTAATTTTCATAACAGTCCTATGAGGTGGATACTATTATTCTATTTTTCAGTTGAGGAAATAGAGGCACAGAGAGATGAAGTAACTCATCAAACATCACAAAGTAGGGTAAATGGAAGAGCTGAGATGACAAATTAAAATTTAACAATAGAAAAGGATATTCTTGACATACTAAAAAGGGATAATTATTCAAATTTTCTCTTATCTTTTCTGCACAGATCCAATTTTTGGTTATGAATAAAATAAAAGGATTGATAGGAATCTTAAAGGAAATTGACAGTGCTATTTATCTAGCATAGCTGGGTGTATTGTGTGTTTAGTCGCTAAGTCATGTCCAACTCTTTGTGACCCCATGGACTGTAGCCTGCCTTGTGATGGGATTTCATAGGCAAGAATACTGGACTGGGTTGCCATTTTCTTCTCCAGGGATCAAACCTGGGCCTCCAGAGTTGCAAGCAGATTTTTTTACCAGGAAGGTGGGCTTCCAAGGTAAAGTTGGGCAAACAAGGCTAAAATACAAGCCACTTTACTGAAGAAATGAGAGGTGGACTTCCTGGGGTGCTGTGACTGAATGAGTTTCTTTCTGCCCTGAATGAACCCCACCCATAGCCTGCCCTCCTCCAGGCCCCTTCACACAGGCCACACACTAACTCAGATTTTCAGGGAAGGAGGATTACAAATACAGAAAAATACAGAAAATGTGGAGAAGGGCACTAACGTTCCTTACACCATGAAGTTCATGATCATAGTAGCTATCATAGGTTGAGTATTTACTGTGTGCCAGCTACTATTCTAGGTAATTTACAGGTATCAATGATTTAATCCTCAAAGCAACCTCATGAGGTATTAACATCCCCATTATACAGATGAAGAAACTGAGGCTCAGAACAATTCATTCACTTGCAAGTGATTGCCCAGCCAGTAAAGTGCTAAATCAGGGATTTCATTTCCAGATCACTTGATGAATGGCAGATACTCAAGTCTGTTATCTCCCTATGAAAAAAAATGACATTTGAAAATAAATTCCACATACTTGTTTTCGGTGCGAGAAAGGAAGGACCTACCTGCCTTTCGACTTTCACAAACTTCCCCATCATGCTTTGGTCTTCAGTTTCTGATGTGGATGGTCTGGCTACATAGGGTTCATTCCTAGGAAAGAGCCCATAATGCTGTAAGATCGTGATACCTATTTTTGCTCTGCAAGGTCACTTCAGCTAGGTGGGCTGTGGTCCCTGGAACTATCCTGCTTGTGCTCAGGCTTACAGAGTCTGGAAGAACCCATGGGACTCTGTAGCCCATGGGCATTGGGAAAGGCTAGCATTTCCTGCCTTTACCAGGGATGTCTCATGCTTACCATGTTGATTGTAGGAAATGTGAAGCTGACTATTATGCTGTTCTCAGGAAGCTTTGTGTCAAGGTTAATACACCACTTAACTGTGCCCAGAGTGCTTGATTGTTTTAAATTATTTTCCTTGGCCTTTCCGTCTCAGACACTGGTTGAGGATGGAGCATGGTTGTCTCATCTCGGGAGTCAATATTTCATCTGTTCCGTTTAGCTAAGACTGGAAAACAGATGCAAAATCTGGAAAATGGTGCCAAAGATGATATTCGTAGGGAACAGGACTGAGACATGAGCTGCATTTGCTCCTTGGCCAACCACAGTTCACATCTGCCTAAATTCCAGTTAGTTTCAATATTGTCCCATGTAGAAGAGAACTTTCAGGGAGTCTAGCTACCGCTTGAAACCATTCATGCCTGGCACTTTCTAGGCAGTTGTTTTTTCTCTAGGCTACTTACTCCTTCTAGGTCCCTGGCCAGGTTTGGGTTAAGCAGTGTTTCTTTTTTTTTTCAATCTTTGGCTGTGTTGCACGGCATGTGGGATCTTAGTTCCCTGAACAGGGATCGAACCTGCCCCCTCTGCATTTGAAGTATGGAGTGTTAACCACTGGACCACCAGGGAAGTCCTGGAGCAGTCTTGAATTAAATCAGATCAAAAACCAGCAGCCTATGTGCTGAATCCAGCTCCCCAGTGCCTTCCTTGACTTGCTCAGGGTTTTAAACATTGGAGCCATTCAAAAGTGGAGAATTGCACATCAGAGCTGAATATTCAGCTTTTCTTGAGAAACTAGTCTATCTGGAAACAGAGGATCTCCTTTCTTAAAATTAGCAAGAGCAGAACTGAGGTTCTTCAGGGCCCTGTGGTTCACCCCTTGCTAGTCTAGCCCCAGAACTGAAGCCAAGATTAGATGCTCTGTATCACCCTCCTTACAGTCTTCCTTCCTTAATGATAAAGAGCCTTATTATTATACACTGCATGATATTTCTTATGCCTACCTCCCTTCACTCATTTATGTTATTGATACTTGCCTTGAAGATACTGGGGAATAAAGAAGTGTAAATGCAGGCAGCGGGCTTTCTAAAGGATCCTTGCTCATCACCTATAAAAGGACAATTTTCAGACAGTTTTTCAGGGAGAGCAGAGCTGCTCTGGGGCCCGAGAGTGGACTTCCTTCTCAGTCTCTGGGGCTGATGAGAAAAAAAAAGGCCAAAACAGCTGGCCAGGAGGAATGCCTTGGGATCTGCCAACATGAAATATTCTTTAGGTTCCAAAAAAAAAACCCCTCACAAGTCTCCTTTTATTTTCTAACTAGGAAACCGTCAGTTGCATTTTCAGTAGCCATACAAAGGAGTGTGGCTGCAAGGCTTTCATACAGAAATTTCTCAAACGGCCACAGGCTGGAATAGGCTGCAGGCTTTTTCTCTTCATCTTATTTGGGGGAATGGCAACCTCACCTCCATGGTAAAGGAGCCCAGCTGAGACTTGGGCATGGGGATTTGGGCATGGGGATGCGGTGCGGGCTTTGACAGCCCGTCAGTCAATGGCCCCGGGCCCCACCTGGGAGACTGCTGGGATGGGTAGGTGAAGGCGGCTCCTTTCTGAGACTTCTTATGTTTTGGAGTAGACGGAGGTCCAGGGGTGAAAATCATATCTATTCTGGAAGAGAGCACACAAATGGGGGATTAAATGATGGAGAGTTTGTGTGAAGAGAGAGGAGAGCAATGTATTCTTTTCTGTTGTCAGCTGCGAGTTTGGAATATAAAAGAGAAGAGCGTAAAGAGAGAGAAAGGGGGAGAGGAGGAGGTGAGGAGGAGAAGAGAAAGAGAGAAAGACAGAGGAAAGGAGAAGGAATTTCTAATCTTAACGCACCATCATTTTGGTTTTTTTTGGCCCAGTGGTATGGAGAGCATCTCTCCATCCCAGAGGAGAGGCAACCGAACCACTGAGACAGGATGAGAACAGCTGCGTCCTGTTCCTTCTTACAGGAAATGTCAAGTGTGCTGCAGCAGGTCTGGTCTCCCAGATCTTTCATTCCACCCAAAACCTCTAGTTAGGGAGGTCTTCCTGCTAAACCCTAGGCTCTGTTTTCAGCTGTGCTCTCTTTTCCCTGCAGCTTGGCAGGCTCCTCCAGCTCCTAGAGGGATGAATTCAATAGTAGCTCCTATAGCCCCCCATCAATGTCACCCTGAGCACAACAGAAGACAAATGCCATCCCCCCACCCAGCGCTGATCTGCAGGACTAGGGTGGGGGCAGGGCATGGAAACAGCCCAGGAGGCTTATCACAGGCCCAGGACCGGGCAGCCAGAAGGAGCCATGCTTCTCTCTGTCCTTCCGCAAACCCAGCTGCTCCTCCAGTGACTCTGTGCACGCGTGCATGCCAAGTCGCTTCAGTCGTGTCCGACTGTTTGCAGCCCTATGGACTGTAGCCGGCCTGGCTCCCTTGTCCATGAGATTCTCCAGGCAAGAACACTGGAGTGAGTTGCCATGCCCCGCTCCAGGATATACGCACATACAAGTATATAAATATGTACAAGTATGTATATATTTCTGAGTGTGCTATTAGTAATCATATTATGCATATATATCCACTACAGATCAGATAACTTTTTATCTTACTACATAGATTGTAAAAATATCATTTGATGGTGGCATAACTTTTAAATGAGACCAGGTACCATTCTTTTCTTAATCACTATTTATATAATGGAGGCAGTGTGGTGTGTTACAGAGGACAGTTTTGTACCCAGATGGATCTGGTTTCATTTTCAGCTCTGCCACCTACTAGCTGGGAAGTCTGGGGCAAGATCATTGTCCGTAAACCTTGGCCTTCTCATTGGTATACGGCAGCTCTAATGTAAAACTGTAGGGGGTTACAAGGGATTGGAGACACATATGTGAAGTGCCCAGGTGATCAGCAAAAACAGTGGTAATTATTAGCTAGGAATCAATGCTGTTTACAAATGTTTGTTAGGTAGTTAGAATAGGAAAAGGAATCCAGAATGGCGGTGGCTAAAAGACCTGGAAGGGAAAAGCCGGCGAAAATAGAACAAAGGAAGGTCTGAGGACCGGAATGAGAACCTCAGGTAAAACAAACAGCAGTCCTGGCTGGCCCAACTTACATAGGACAGGCCCAGGGAGAGAGAAACATAAAAAGAGAAGCCAAAGCTAGCTCGATCTCTCTCTCTCCCGCGCGCTGGGGCGCTCTTCTCTTCGTGTCTTTGGATCAACGTGCCCTCACGCCTCGAAGATGGATTTTCCTGCTATCTTCTAAATAAAATAGAGCCGTAACATTGAGCTGTAACAATGATTTGTCTAAGAGCTATAACACGGTCCGTTTGAGACCTGAGAGCTATAACACGGTCTGTCCAAGACCCGAGAGCTGTGACATGCCAAGGGGGCTTTAATGTCCGTCACTCCAAATCTTTGTTGTGACGAGACAAAAACCGAGAAGCATACACTCGCCTGACACGTTCACTGTTACAACTAACACTTGATGAACTTTTAATTGAGTAAAAATTTATATTTGGAACTAGCCAACTGGACTCATTTTAGATAATCCAAATATTGTTGGCATATACAAAGGATCAGACATGATTTTTTAAGACATGATCAGACATGATTAAGACACATGTTTTTTCTCTCCCTGAGCCCTGATCAGACTATTAATCCTGGCCACATCAATTTCATAGAAATTCTCCCCAGTTCACTTGATCTCACATTGGTTGGCCTTGATGTCTCTGTTTGATGAATATTTTTGTTCTTAACATTTCTCCCCTCATTGTGGATCAGTAGATGCCTTTCACCCTCAGCTCTGAGGCCTCCCTGGCCGACTCCTCAGCAGCCAGGAGGGCACCATCCTTCCAGATGTGCCTCTCACCTTGTCTGAAGGTACTTGATTCGGGAAAGCATGTCAAGATGTCCAGCAGAATACTGTTCAATCACATCCTTCACGTCATAAGGCCTCAAAGTCTCCTTGAATTTTTTTTTATAGAGACGGAATTGTAGAATTCTGGCAGGCAAAGTAGAGACATTTGTGCATCAGGAGCGGAGAGTGAAGTAACTTATGATACAAGATGAACAAACTCTGGGGGGGGGGGTGGGGGGTGGTGGGAATAAAAGAACCAAAAAGACACGACTTGCTAAGAAGTCCCAGCTCCTGGTCCTGGTTCCACCTCTTGGAACCACACTGAGTTAGGCTGGCTGTTGTCTCTTCTTCATGCCTATCTCTCTTCACTCATATGAATAATAAGAAATTCATACTGACAGTAAAAGCGAACATTTATTACACATTGGGCTTCCCTGTGGCCCAGATGATAAAGAATCTGCCTGGAGTACATGAGACCTGGCTTTGATTCTTGGTTCCGGAAGATCCCCTGGAGAAAGGAAGGGCACCCCACTCCAGTATTCTTGCCTAGAGAATCCCATGGACGGAGGAGCCTGGTGGGCTACAGTCCACAGAGTCGCACAGAGTCTGACACGACTGAGCAACTAACACTTTCACTTTTCACTACATGCCAGACTTGGGCTGAGTTCATTTTTAACAATTTGCTAATAAATCTATTCACAGATGATGGAACTGTGGCCAAGGGAGCTTCAGCCTCTTCCCAGGGCCATATTGCTGATAATGTCAGAGTTTTCCTGAAACCAGGGTTGTATGGGGACAAGGCTCACAGTCCTAACAGCTGCGTCACACTGCTTCCTATTTGAGGACAGCTGACATATCTCTTCCTCAATAGCCTCCTTAATCCTTTGGCTTATGAGCTTCTGGAAGAGAAAAGCTAGCTTTGGTTCCTCAAATTTTTTCAGGCTTTTAATAAAGTGGGGCACCCAGAACTTGGAATCCTCACCTCCATCTTCCTGGGAATCAATAAAGTCGCCTTAGGTGATTAATCTTCTTGAAACTTCCCTCACGAGGTCAACTCTTGCTGAACACAGTGTCAATTTAAAACACTGAATCACAACCCGGTGGTAAGAAACACAGCTACCCAGGTCCTCCCATCTCATACTTGTATAGGCTTTTTTTAATGGTGCATTCAACACTCATTTTGTTTGTCACAGTCCATGACTTCAGACTCTAAACACTATTTTGGTCTATCAATTGTACCATTCAAGCTCTCCTTTCCAATTCTGTGTCACTTTCTAAGCCTGCCCGTTACACAGTTCTATCTAAGGTGGGTGTCAGGAACTATGGCTTGCAGCCAAATCTGGTCCACTGCCTGTGTTTGAAAATAGAGTTGTGTTGGAACACAGCCTCAGTCATTCATTTATATACTGTCTATGGCTGCCTTTGCACTTCAGGATCAAAGTTAAATATGACAGAGACCTATGGATCATAAAGGCTGACATATTTACTACATATCTGACTCTTCACAAAAAAATGTCTGCCAACCTCTGAACTAAGGCACCAGTGACAGTGCTCCAAAGGATGGGGCAGAAGCCAGACCAGGAAGCATCTCAGCAGAGACCTCCTTCGAGCCTGACACAGATTCATTCATTGGCTTTCTTTTGAATAAGATCACTCAACTAGTTGAAAATCCAGGAAGTTGTGTTTTCTATCCAGCCGTATTGCTGGCACATGGTACAGAGTGATGTCATGAAGAACCATGTCAACAGCTTTGCTGAGGGCCACATAGTATAAACCCGTGTGCTTCCTGCTCTATTGGACTGAAAATCTGAAAATGCCATGACTAGTTCTTAGTGACCCTGACTCAGTTTCTAGAATTCACTACCATCATGGTGGAGTGCTTATAAACTCATATTCTGGAGTTATCTTGAAGTAGTAGCATATTTTCTTAATTTTCTTATGGCATTTCAAGCAAAATAGAAATAGCCAGGGTGAATTATAAGTCTCATCTGAAACAGACCCACAAAGTCCTATAATTGATTACCATGTTGAAAATGCTAATTAAAAAGAACTAAATGAATGAAGACAGACGGGAGAAAAGCTATTTTGAGTCAGAAGCCTATAAAAGAAGAAAACTTCATGTCAACACACCCTCCCTCACCAACAGCACTTAAAATAAATTAACACAACACTGTAAAGCAACCACGTGTGTGTTAAGTTTTCAGTCGTGTCTGACTCTTTATGACCCCATGGACTGCAGCCCACCAGACTCCTCTGTCCGTGGGATTCTCCAGACAAGAACACTGGAGTGGGTTGTCATGCCCTCCTCCAGGGGATCTTCCCCACCCAGGGATCGAACCCCAGTCTCCTGCGGCTCCTGCACTGGCAGGGCAGGTTCTTTACTGCTGAGACACTAAGGAAGCCCAAAGTAACCATACTCCCATAAAAATGTTTAACAAATAAAATAAGTAGCAGCAAGGACAGACAGGAGGATGACCAGTGTCTCCAGCCTACTAATGATCTGCTAATACAGTCATCATTTTTCTTTAGGTAGCACCCCCCACTTAGAGTATTGACATACTCTCTGAACTTGACTCAGGGGTTACTTGAGGAATTTCCTGCCCACCTTCCCAAAGCCCAAGACCACTTTGCAAAGCCATGACCTGGAGGAGCTGAGCTGGGGCCTGGGAGGCCTAAAGTGGGAGAAGGTGCTTACCTGACGGCTCGGATGGCGGCCTTCAGGGTGGGGATCATGTCTTCGATGAGGAACTCATTTCCATAGCCCTTGTCTTCTGCTGTGGGGTCCCCTGTCCCAGCATCTGAAAGGGAGACACCCATATCAATGGCAGGCCACCACTTCATCAGAGCCCTTCAAACTCAGCCTCCTAAGCCTCCATTTCCATTTCAGAAACCCTGAAGTGTTCTCCAGGGGTGACATCATTCAGACTTTCTCAGCATCTCCCTCCCATGATCCAGCAGTCTGGTAAGTGCCTGCAGAGTTGGACGGTTGCTTGGGGGTGAAGGCGGGGATGTGTGTTCCAGGGTTCCCAAGTGGCCCCTTTGGAGGCAGCCAAGGGCATGCACGTAGGTATTTGTCACACACCTCAGTTCAGACTCTGGCTCTGTCAGACTTTATCCTTGTGACTGTGGGCTGGGAGGTCACTTTCTGAGCCCTGTTCATCCTCCCTTTTTGTAAGTGAACAGGGCACCCGCTCCGACTGCCCCCACAAGACTTTTCCCATATCTCTCCCCACCCCCTTGGGATATGGAGGTCCCCAGCTGTCCAGACCACTCTGCCCCTGGCTCCCTCCATCCTTCAAGGCGACCTTCTTGATAATGTGCTCATCATGGGGCCACCCTTAGGAACCATGCGGTGCGTCTCAAGGCTCCCTGGAGGGGTTGGCAGGCACATGTGGTGACCCCGGCCCAAGAGAACAGCTAACACGGACCCTCTGCGCCCAGAGTGGGGGCGGGAACCTATCACAGGGGCCAAGATAAAACAAGCCAGAAGCTGGTCAGGGCAGCGGGAATGGGCTGTTACGTAGACTGCAGGGCTCTTCGCGGGGGTGGGGGGCGGAGACGTGGAGGAGACAGGGTGAGGAAGAGGAAGGGGTTACCTTCAGAGCTCTGCCAGAAAGCGTATGCTTTCATGCGGAAGGCGGTGCGGAAGCGCTCTTTATTGTTTGAGCCAAGAGGCTTTGGTTCTTTAGAAGGACTTTCTTCTATGGCATCTACATTCAGAGGGGCAAATAGCTTTCCTTTAGTATTGCTACCGCGAGGATTAGAAAGGCGAACCCGATCCAAGAGACCCAGCTTTTGGCTACAAAATAAGCAAAAGTGAACAATTTTCCTCCTTGAGTGCAGGCTTTCGCAATCTCCCGTCCCTCTTCATCAAGACGTATACATCCTCCGCGCGGGAATAGGACCCGCGCCTCCGATGCTCAATCTGATTGAGCTGCTTAGAAAGGGACACGGCTTGCTTCAGATGATAGCTCGGCAGCTGACTAGCTAGTACATCTCGGGCGTGTCTCTCTGACTTTCAGTTTCCTCATATGCTTAAGTGTAGCTTAGATGCGATCCAGGATATAAAATGCCAGCTCCTGGTAGCAGGCAGCAAGGCTTTGGCCCGCCTCCACTCCCACCTCCTCTGCGTCAGTAACTTCCTCAGTATCACTCCGTGGTGCCCACATGGTGACCCACAGAGGCAAAGCCTTATCAACTGTTCCTTAAGCAGAGCTGAATGACATAAATTACAAAAAGCAGGTACCCTAAACTGGTGTCCACAGACACCTCCCCCCCACCACGGACAGAGCTCTTTTTTTTGGGGGGGGGGGGGCGGTCCATGAGCTTGGATGGGAAAAGCACTGCATTTTAAATTTAATAATTAGATTTTCATTCACAAATCTCAAACTGAAATTTAGCATGTCTTTCAATTATGAATGAATGAACCCCAGTAATACCCTCAATGCCCCAGCCGTATCCTGTGACTTTCTATAACAGAAATCACAGATCATCTTATATCCTGTTACCTTCATGTATTGATATGCTCATCACTGTTTCAAAATTTCAGAATTATTCTACCTGCCACTATATCACATCATTAGATTCGTCACAAAGAAGCACACATATTGACTGCATCTCAAAAGTTTAAGTATTTTGATAATTATATTTCAACATAATCAGCTTCTTTTGTAACTGTCTGCATTTTAGTTGTGGATGCAAAGTTGTTATTCTGAGAAAGGGTCAGGGAACTTTAGCATACTGCTGTCTTCTAGGCACAAGAAAAAAGCTAATAAATCCAACAGGAAGTTGCCCTGGTGCAAGAACCATCTCAGTGTCCTTGGGCAAATCTGTGACCTTCTCAAACCTCAATTACTTCATCTTTAAAATAGGGATAAGCATGTCCCACTTGACTGGTTGCTATGGGATGCTGTTTGTCAAGGATTAGGCATAGAGCCCAGCACACAGGTGCTCTGTAAATAGCAATTTCTCCATTTCTTAACCTCTGCCTCTCACCCGAGTGGACACAGGAATGATGTCCTTTTGTGCGGCACAGATCAGAAAGTGCCTAGTGTGTGTCACACATCGATACACTCAGCTCAGCCACTTTCTCATCACCCGCACGGGGCTTGGCGCCCAGCAAGTGTGCCTGTACTTGTGGGAGAAGTGAGTGAACAAATGAATATGAATGTGGGTTGTCAAATCAGCTTTTCATCAGCCTGAGACACCGAGTATTTCTAATGTCGATGTCTGGTTATGACAGTCACGTGCCTCATACCAGAAGCTGCTGCTGTCTTTGCAGTTTGACATAGTGAGGCAGTCCTGGCCCTGGGACTGCAGAGGTGGGAACATCTCTTGCTGAGTGGGTGCCCTATGCTCTCTGAACACCTGGTCCTCAACAGTTAGTGAGCCTAACCACACCTTGCTTAGGAGAGATCCGGGGACCACTGCATGTGATACTGTCCATGATGCTTCTTCCCTTCAGCTTGGCACAGAGAAGGCACTAAGAAATATTTGATTCATGAAAGAATGAATGAATATATGGATGAGTCATTGTTACTCCTGACTCCTTCTGACTGTTCTTTGTCCCCCAACGCTGTTAAATTAATAACCCACCCATCAGGATAAATTCAGATGGCTCCATCTTTCCTGAGCTGGTCCAGATTTTTCAGAGTGGCTTTCCTGACTGGCACTAGGTGAATGACTAATGGAGAAGAAATCAGCATCCAGAGGCTAAAAACACAGGACAAGGTAGGAAATCACTGAAGACACCCAGAAGGCTTTCCCAGACATGAACTCAGAAGAAGAGGGAGGTTAGGATGGTCATTGCTCAGGCCCCTGCTTCCTGGCCCCTGCCTACCTGTCTTTGCTATACCAAGCAGATCCATCATTCCATCCACACCAAACCCCTTGCCCATCCCCAAGTCCCCTCCTGCATGCCTTTTTGCACTCAGCCATGCCCTTTCTTCCCTTCTCAGCTGACCTCATTCCCATCTGCCCTTTAAACTGCCCAAGTGTCCCTTCTTGGAAACTACTCCCCATATGCTTCCGAGACAGGCTGTGTTTGTCTCTGGGTTTAATACAGTGTCACGGCTCTACGCGCCCATGCCCGCCTGCCCCACTGGCTTGTGCAGTCCTGGAAAAGCAAGGATTCTGCCTACTTATCCCTGAACCCACCCTACACCCCTGCTCAGTACATCCTGATGTCCAGGTCTTTGGGGCAAAACTGACCTGGGGGGCGGAACGTCTTGAAAAAACAGGTGACCTAGGACACAGAACTCATGTGTCTGGGTCGAAGCTTCCTCATGTGTACAAGAATGGGAATCAACCCTCATTACACACGGTTGCCTAAGGGTTAAATGAGGGAACACACGTAAGTGCTTAGCCGACTGTCTGAAGGCAGTAGCGAGACGCTTTCAATAAATGCTGGCTGTCATCATTATCTTGGTAAATAATCCTCTTCCCACAGAAGCAGCAGAGGGCTAATAACATGTGTGAAAAGGATGGATAATATTTCCTAAGCCACACACACACAAAATTGTTCTTTCTTTTTTAAATGAACTGAGGTGAGTTCTCAGGATTATATATATATATATAATTTTACGGTACTTCTTAATGGTAGTCTGAAACACTCACCACCATCACTGAGTTTGACCGCAGCAGGAGATAAGTATCAATATATGAGGAGTTTAATTCCAGAAAAACTAAGCGAGACAAAAGTAATGGCCATCACCCTGTCCTGATTTGAAATCTCAGCGTAGGTGCTGACTATCAGATAATGAAAGAGATTGCTTGATTCTGTCTCTGCGAGGACTGAGAATTCACTTATCTGGCATTTAAATGCTTCACGTCTATCTCTAATAGTCTGAGTTGCTTTGGCCATGTTCACTTAATACTCCACTGGTCACAGAGGTCAGTTTATGAGACGAATTCCAACAGCATTAGGAATCCAGATGCGTTGGGCACAGGTCAGAAATCTTGGTTCTGAGTTACTCACAGCCATAACACCTAAGAGGCTTATGGAATTCTTCCTCCAGCAAAGTGGGTGATCAGCTTACTTCTTAATTGTGTTGCCTGAAACCCAAGACCCTAAAGGATAATCAAATGCAAGGCCAAGTTCATCCCTGAAACTCAAAACCCATCTCAGCCCTTCTCTGTATGGATTTCTAGTGCATATTTCAGGCCTTGTATTTGAAGGCTTGCAGATCTTGTAAGAAAAGCTCTCCATGAAGCTGACATCAGATTTCCTTGGAAAGCTAAGGTCTGTGATTTGCTAAGGGCAGACAAACAATTTCCAAACATGAGTTGGGAAAACTGGAAATACAGACTAGAGACAGGAAAAATAACATCAAGGTTTTTCTTTCCTGGCAAGATTATGCAGTCCTTGCCCTGGACTCTTGATCCGGGAACTCTTTGTTAAGTTGCTAAGTCGTGTCTGACTGTTTTCGACCCCATGGACTGCAGCACACCAGGCTTCCCTGTCTTTCACCATCTCCCAGAGCTTGCTCAAACTCATGTCCGTTGAGTTTGATGATGCCATCCAGCCATCTTGTTCTCTGTCATCCTCTTCTGCTCCTGCCTTCAATCTTTCCCAGTATCAGGGTCTTTCCCAGCATCCAGGCTCTTCACATTATTTGGCCAAACTATTGGAGCTTCAGCTTCAGCATCAGTTCTTCCAGTAAGTATTCAGGGTTGATTTCCTTTAGGATTGACCGGTTTGATCTCCTTTCTGTCCAAGAGACTTTCAAGAGTCTTCTCCAGCAGCACAATTTAAAAGCATCAATTCTTCAGTGCCCAGCACTGTTTATGGTCCAACTCACACAACCCCGCACATGACTACTGGAGAAACGATAGCTTTGACTACATGGAATTTAAGTTGTGTTAAACTCTGTACAGTCCCCTATTTCATGCTTCCCAGCCTCAGCACAAGCTGTGACCTGTGCCTAGGAAAACCTTCATCCTATCTTTTATCCAAATAACTGATTTTGTTTGAAACTTGGTCCAAGCAGCAGTCCCCAGGCACACTTCCACTTTTGGGTCAATAAGATAACCATTCATTGTGCATTTTTTTGAGGCTTTTCTCAACCACGGCACTTGGCCATCGTAATGAAATCTTCACCTTACGAGAGACTCTCTCACTATAGCAGTGGTTCCCAACCAGCGGTGATTTTGCCCCTAGGGGACACTTGGTGAAGTCTGGAATCACATTTGATTGACATAACTTGGGGGCGGGGTGCTCCTGGCTTCTAGTGGGTTAAGGCCAGGGATGTTGCTAAACTTCCTATAATGCACCCAGGGCAGCCGCAACAACAAAGGCTTATCCCACCCAAAAGGCAACAGAGCTGCCATTAAGACATGAAAAGGGGAAGCTCTTTGTTCAGAAACGGCCCTTTGTCTAGTTATCCAGCACCGAACACAGTGCCTGGCACACACTCAGCCCTTACAGCATCGTTATGATGTTGAGTGAAGGAAGGAAGAAATAACAACACCTGAGCTTCTCATTAACAAGGTGCATCCAACCTCAGCTGAGAAAGGAACTGCTGTATAGTGGAAAGAGTGCTGCCTCTGGAGGAAGAACTGAGTTCAAATAGCTGCTCTGTGGTTAATATTTCAACTTGGGTGAGACATTAGCTCTGACTCAGTTTTATCTTCACCTATAAAACAGAGCTAATGTCACTTATTTACTCAACAAAATATGTTCTGCACCTTGAAAATGCTAGACTCTTGGTAACTTGCTGAGGATACAGTGGTGACCAAAGCAGGTATGGTTTTCAGCCTCCAGTTAGCTTACAATAAGGTCAAGAAATCAAGTGACAGGCA